ACGCGCGAGTGTGTGTGCGTGCATGCGTGTGTGTGTGTGTGTGTGCATGTATGCGTGTGTGTGTGTGTGTTGGGAAATAGCTAGTGAGGAAAGAGTGTCAAAAAGAATGCTAAAATTTCAACATAAGGAATGAAGAAGGACAGGGTAAACAATGTAATACCAGACAATAAGTAATCGACTTAGCTTTTATAGAAGGAGTATAGGGACAACTTGAAAGCTATTAGGCAAAAGAACAAAGACCAGGAATAACAATCCAGAGGACCAGAAGAAAGTAGAAGAACCAATTACCTTCTGTAATCATAAGGTGTTTGGGTCATTTGAGTGAAGCATCTTAGTCAGATAATAGAATTAGAAGCCCAATAAGTTGAAGAGTGAATTGAAAGTGGACTTCTAAGCCAGTAAATACATATTTTTAGAAAGGTGATGAGTAAAGGGAGGGAAAATAATTAAGACTGGCTGAGGAAGAATTAAATTCAAGGAAAAAATTCAATTTTTAATGCTTGAACTGAGTGAAGGCCCTAGGAGCTAGACACTGAAAATTCAAGGAAAAATGAAGATTGCAGATGGAGGTGTAGTTATTGTTATAAATATATAATCTGAAGCTCAGCAGACTCTTGAAAAATAGTAGAGACCAGCATTTTATTATTTAGGAAGAACAAAAAAGAAGCAAGTAATAGAAGAAATATAAATATGGAGATGCAGAAGTAATATGTTTAAAGAATTAATGGGTAATGGTCTACTTTTGCATTCAAATAGGAAGTGTAGTCATTGACAACAAAGGAGAGAGGGATGAAGTAGCTTGAGAAACAGATAAAAGGATTAAGAGTTACTATGTGCCCGGGCCTGGTGGCACACACCTGTAATTGCAGCTACTCAGAGGCTGTAAATTCAAAGACAGCCTCAGCCATTGAGTTCAAGACCATACTGGGCAACACAGTGAGACCCGGTCTCAAAATAAAAAACTAGAAAGAGGGCTGGGGATTTAGGCCCATGGTAGAGTGCTTGCCTAGCATAGCATATGTAAGTCTCTATATTTAAGTACAGGGGGCAAAATACCACTAAAGTGATCAAGTAAGAGTGTGAGCCAGTAAAGACATTAGTAGAGAAATACTGAATACTGAGAATCCCCATAGATAGTCAGTGAAAGCCAACAAGCCCAATTTCATTAAGGTAAAAAAACTAAATGGAGCAGCTGTATTCCCCTCCAAGGATCACAGAACATGGAGGAAGTTGGGGGTAGATAAGAATGTAAGAGCCAGAGGATGAAGAGATGTGCAGCATAAAGATGTTTTTTGGGCATGACACAGCCATTGCCCTCATTGAACTCACTGCTGCTGTGGTTATCTGCACAAGACCTGCACAAGATTAGGCCCCTCAAACATTTCATCATGGATGAGGGTAGGGCCCATGAGGCCCCACCCTTTCCTGAGGGACTATTGGCAATTAATGGACAAAAATTCTAAGTAAAGCCAGTGAACCACATGAAAAAGAAGACATGGACCTATGAGAGGGACTTATTGAGGAGAAGGGCTCCAGAGGAAAAGGAGGGGATAAACAGGGTGTGAGGGGTAAAAATAGCCCATTTATTATAAAAATGCATGAAACTGTGAAACAATTTTTAAAAATTAAGATGCTAGAGAGACGGTTTAGTGGTTAAGAGTACTTGCTGCTCTTGCAGAGGACCCAGGTTTGGTTCCCAGAACCCACATGGCAGCTAACAAGCATCCCTAACTCCAGTTCCAGGGGATCCAACAGCATCTTCTGACCTCTATGAGAATTGCACATGTATGAGGCAGTTACATACATGCAGGCAAAACACTCAGACACATAAAATAAAAGTAAATAAATAAATTGTTTTTAAAAATGTAAAAACTAAAGGTCATAGAAGAACTTATAATGTTTACTGGACTCTATTTTAGATATGTGTTCTGCTGTTTAAAATTGTACTTAAGTGAATTTTGGATGGTAATGCAGAGATTGTTTTTTCATACCCTCTGCACAAGTTCATAAAGATTAAATATGTACCTCCATTTTTACCATAAGCTTATAGTACTTCATATTTTTAAGAGAGCCTTTATTCCCAAAGCCTTTACAAGAATGACCTCATTTTACCCAGCACCAGTTCAAGAGTTCCTTTATCTGATCCAACTCATGTATGAATGACAAATTTAATCAGACCATGATGTAACTCTGTATATTGTTGAAAAATTATGTCTTGATGTGTTCAGCTTTCTGATTCCACTTTCACACTTGCTGAGAAAGAAGATAAATATAGTAATTACTATTTCATATTTAATCTGAATCATCATGCATTTTCCATACCTAATAATGATTACTTCCCTTCATTTGATGTCTTATGTGGCCATGTTTCAAATTTAGGTTATTTTCCTAGTTTATGTTAACACTGTGTAGACTGTTCAGTGTCCATGACTCCACTCCACAGTTTAACTGAGCTTTATAGAGAATGATGTCAACATAACGTGTTTTACTTGATGATTCTATAGTTACTGTTTTTGTCTAGCTTCCCTACTGAGAAAAATCCCTTAGAAATCTCAAGAGCAAGTAGCACCAATGAGAGTTTGTAATTGTTTAAATGAAATGTTTGAGTAAAACTTTAAATTCTGTTATTTTGAATATGGTTGTTTAATAAGTTAGAGGAATGAGAAGAAAAATAATCACTTCCTGATAGATAGGAAGTCATCAACTTGTGATCTATTAAAAAATATTAGTTAAGTAGCTGAAGCACACATATAGAAAAAGATGTGTGTATATCAGCCTTCACTTTTCATACCTGCTGTCTCAATAGATCTTTCAGTCATTTCATTGAAACATTATTTGCTACTTGTGGAGCTGGAGAGATGGTCAGTGACTAAGAGCACTTACTGCTCTTCCAGATAATCCAGGCTGGATTCCCAGTACCCACATAGCCACTAACATCTGTCCTTAACTCCAGCTCCAAGATACCAGCACTGAGAAACCCTCTGGCCTCCACAGACAACCACACACATGGTGCACTTACACACATGCAAGCACAACACTCATATACAGAAAATAAAAATAAATAGATCTTTTTAAAAAACTAGAAAAGATATGTCTTTTATGAATAATAAACCCAAAAGCCCAGAAACATTAATCTTTAAAAAATATAATATTTAGATGATTTGTAAAGAAAATTATTTTGATAACACTGTTTTGAATAGCAATGTGAGCTACTACAGATAGACTAAATTCATTTGACCAATAGAATTACTTCGCCTATAAAAATGGTTAAAATTAAAATAAGAAAAATAA